TGAGACTGAAGTTGAGATCTGCTGCCGACGGCTAGCTTCATGTCACCGTGAGGAAGTCTAATGCATTGAGGCGATCCCTTGGCTCCGGCTCCTTCTCCGTGTTGACCCTAAGGTTGTCAGATTTCATGGGTGTCAAGACACCTTGAGCTTGTCCCCAAAAGAATCTTGGAACCTCATTGCCACGGGCGAGGGTTGCTAGCCATCACCGACACGCTATGGACCCCGTCAGTCCTTGCCAACGAAGGGAAGAAGATGAATAGTAGAGAAGGGAAGAAATGGAAAAAAGAAAAATAAAAGAAAAAAATTGAGAAAATAAGTTGAAAACTACATTGTTTCATTTAAGATCTTCCACATCAGCTGTCGATCATGCCATGTGGGATTGACGTCCCTGATTGGATTGCTACGTCAGCGATTTTCAGCCTAATTTAAGCGGATGAACTTCATTAGAAAATCATCAAAAAGTTTAGGATTACATTAGGCAATTAAAAAAAATTTAGAACTGAATTAAAATCCGTATAATATAGATTTACAACTTTTTGAATAATTTTCCAATATAAATGCAAAGGAGAAATCTTGTGAGGGCATTTGTATAGGTGGGTCTCGGTGCTTGTTTTTGAAGGTTTTTCATTTTAAGAAGAAATCTCTCCCTTTGAATGTCCAATGAATTATTATGATCGTGTGAAAGAAAAAACAAAAGTTTTCAAATGAAAAAGAAGGGAAATCTTTGCAAAATTTAAATTTTTTTAGTAAATTGATTTAAAGTTTATAGCATTACGTGACAATTTGATAAATTTAAGTTATGCTTTTGTTCATTATTCTTTCTGTAAAAATTGTTTTGGATGCCACATATGAACGATTTTATTGTTCTCGAATGTATCCTAATTTTTTGGCCAAATTACGTTGGAAGAACCTTTTAGATCTTTCATGTGCACGATCTCATATATGCCTTTTGGACTTGATAACTAATCTCATATCTACATTCAATTTTCCGTGATTATATGGCAATGGGAGGCATTTTAACATTGGCAAGTGTCAAAAAATTATTGGTGAAAAAAAATGATCGGTGACTTTTTTTCCTAGATAATGTGTTGGTATTTATTAAGAAATTCTATGAAATTACCAATTCTATTACAATTTGCAAATTATCGAATCTTGTGCTGACTGACCAACCATTATCATAACTTAATAAAAGTTTCAAATTTACTAACTCTTGCGTGAACCTTTCAATCTAAATTAAAGTAATTTATCAACTTTTGTCAAATTGAACTACCAACTTATTTGGAGTTACCAATTTTCATTTGAGACCATGCTTGAACTTAAGATGAGCTTCCCTCTCTGTAACAATATAGCTGACATTACTCGAATGACAAAGATTGCCCATAAGAGGGTAGACACAAAGCCACCGTAAGACACCATATTAGGACCTGAGAACAATTATTGCTTTAATCATGTGTATAATGGTCTTTGATTCAGCAAGAAACGAGTCACTACAAAACGTTCTTCAGGTCATTTCTGATCACCGGCCATCCCGACTCCTAAAGGACGACTCCAACTTTTGAAGTCATGCCTTCCAAGACCCGCCAAACGGTCATCAACCCAAAATACGTGTCATCTTTATTCTGTGATAATGATCGAGGGAGGACCAGAAAAGAAGAAGAGAGGATGCTTACAACACTACGTACCTCTAAGACCGGCAATTGTCAATGTATGATCTCTAGAAAATTTGTCATTTTCAAACGAAATGAAAGTGGAAGCTCGGGTCAGAGACAAGTGGTTGACATGCAATGCAAGGACTTATTTGCAAACAGAAGTCGGTGTGCAGTCGAAGCAGCCTGGTCGCCATAGTGGCAATGCATCATGGATCAAGCGGTTGCCACCAAAATTGGAGAAGTTCAAGCAAAGTGTCATTGACGGTTCAACTTCTCTTTAAGAAAATAAAAGAGGCTTAGGCGTTCGAAGAAAACAAAGCCCGCATGCACATGTCAACCCTCCACCTAGAGTTTATCCATTCAATTTCCTTGTATTTTGCTTCCTTCTATATTTTAATTCCTATATTTTCCTCTTAGTATATTTTCATTTTAATATCCTTTAATTTCTTCACAACTTACATTTCATGGCACTTAGATTCGCATATTCGTCACTCCATCCATGTCTCATCCACGCAGTCTGTGCTCGAGTGTGGAACTGTGGGGTGATCTCGATCGCTCTCCAGTCGTCTGAAGCTCGGATCATCTTAGAATTCGTCGATATTTGTCAACACTTGTTTTGGCATGCCCAAGCAAATCTATTTTCACTGACAGAGAGCATGTGTTGTGTGCCATGAGTAATAGAAGAAGAAATACAGAGAGAGAGAGAGAGAGAGAGAGAGAGAGAGAGAGAGAGAGAGAGAGAGAGAGAGAGAGAGAGAGAGAGAGAGAGATTTTTTACTTGCTACTAGTTTGGTGGGCACAAGCATTCTTTTGTTGAGATTAATGTATTCGGCTTACGTGGAAGGTATTATTATCGTATAAGATATTTATTCTATAAAAGTTTACATAACATATCACTCTTTCTTACATAAAAGATAACGTTCCATGTTGTTATTTTACACAACAATTTTGGTATCAGTAAGAAATTTAGTTCACACGGGTTAGTGTCTAGCTTATATGATAACATTATCTATACTATAGATAAAGTAAAGAGGACTTCTTACTTTTGTGGGATCTCAATCATTTAATTTGCTTATCAACATCCTCAATTACTTGTTTTACAAAAAATATCATTATCTATACTTAGTGTTAACCTTATCCAAAACCGTGGAAAACGTCAAAGAATACAGCTGCATTCCCAATTTATTCATGTCATCGAACAATTTGAGGGCCTCGTCACCGCGGCCGTGCACTGGGAGCCTGTTGATCGGCCCAGTCCAAGTCGACACATTCATCGACCGACCTGCACCTGCAGTACATGTCTATCAAAGCGGTCCCGACAGATATCGTCCAACTCGAGCCACTTCTCTGAACGTAACAATCGACCCACCTACCCAATTCCAAAGCCCCTAAGCTGGAAATTGCCGAGATCCCGCATCTGCGTGATCAGGGCGTGAAGGCGGTGGCCCATCTCCCCGAGGTGAGAGCAGGACTTGAGGATGAAAGGGAAGGTGAAGTTATCCCGGCGAGATGCCGCGGCGTAGCATCTGAGCGAAGAAAGAGTGGGAGCGAGGAGGGGAAGAGTGGGCGTGGGATCTCAAGATGGTGTTGTTAGCGACGGCGTCGGGAGAGGAGATACCAGCGAAGAGAGAGCGGGCATGGGGCAAGCTCTCGGGGGCTGAGGCGGGCCCCGTCTCGGAGGCCGGTCTTGCTGACGAGGGAGTGGAGCTTGTAGACATTGTTCAGGGATGTTCTCGCACTGCATTACCGGGTCAACGATATCTGTTCAGGTCTTGTCATGTTAGCCTACTTCGATTTAGGCATTGTTCATGGATGTTCAGGTCTTGTCAGGTTTTGCAATTGGACCCTTTTCCCGTCAATTGTGTTGTGGTTAGCATTGATGAGCACCAACCACCCTACCTCCGGAGAGGGCGAGCTGGCCCTCCCCAGCGAAGGAACTAGATAGGTAATTACAGTGGTGCGGCCTGTGTTGGTAAGGCCAATTTTCTCGATGGACAATATTTGCAGCTATCACTTGTGAGTTAACTGCTTCTGCCTGCAATCAGTTCATGCAAATAGACCGAGTTTTTGCAGAGAACGCCATCTTACGGCAGATTCAACTTTGTCAACAAGCAAACCTATTTCTTGTCTCTTTGGATTGATGCAAGCATCCGAGTGCCCTATTTTCTTGGTTCAGTTATTCAACCTCGGGACAAAAAAATTTATAGAAATTAGTTTATAATGTCCTGTCCAAAGACAGCTCTCCTCCATCGCTATTCTTAAAGGGTAGAGATTGAAAAAGGACAACCTTTGTAATCTTCGTTTGAACATGTTGCCTCCACAAAATAAGTCAGAAGCCTCCGCGTTCTTGCAATATCAGTGCAGTCATAGATTCTTGCTAGAACTGACTCCCCTTAAATACCTGTTGAAACGTCTGTGGACAATTATTTCTTGAAAAATGCCAAAGCTATGGTGGGACTGGAAAGATTTGTCTGAGCATGGCATTTTCTCTTTTGGAGAGGAAATATCATAATTTGTGACAAGTTCCTGATACAAAGCATTAGGAGGTAATGAAAACAAGAACTTTGTAGGTAACACTAACCAAGTTGTGTATGTATGAACAGTAACTTGCAGAATGGACCGCTTTACTTGAAAACAGGAAAGCACTATTACAGGTAATACAGCTAGATTTGATATTCTTAGTGTTGAGAACTAGATAGTTAAAAAAAAAGGACTCATCAAGAACCTACCAATTACCTGTTGTTAACTGACCCGCTGGCAGTGCTGAAAGTTGAGTCCAATGATATTTTGGCTGATTTTACATCCATAAAAAGAACAAGTTGCTCTATTTTTATCCAAGACTACATGTGCCCAATGTACTATTAGCAAGGCTCCCTATGCCATAAAACCAGTAACTAACCAAAAGATCACTTTTCTTTCTGCTTTTTGTCGATGAAGATCTTTCTAGGATTTTTGGATTCTGAAAAAGTATTCTTTGAACACCGGCCAGGCAACCTAAACTGTCCCCAGCATAGTTTTTTCTCCCTTGGTTTAGCTCTAGATTGCGCTCTTCTTAAGCTCTTGTTTCACTACTATCCTCAGTGCATAAATTAAACAATTTTTTGATTGTAAAGTATCTACCTATTATAACGACCTAATCGACTAAATTATCCCCCTGTAGAGGCTAATAGGCATCTCCAGAGGGTAACTGAAACAGAGTCAAAGCAACTACTTCTTTGGCTCTCTCATAAAATAAGATTATAGAACACGAGCTTTTGCATAAGAGGCCATGTGTAATGGTACTGCTGTCTCTGTGAAATCTACGTCAAACCATTCATCAGCAGCCAGATAATATATTACAGCAAAGAAAAGATTGATTGAACATAATAATCCGTCACAACATTTCTTCTATTTTCCCAGAAGTCAACATGTGTTGCAGTATGGCTTTTGGAGCAATGATATGTTTTCCTTAACGGGAGGTAATTCTTGAATAGAAGAGGAAGACTCTGTTCTAAGTGCTGATCGCTGATATAAAATAAGGAACCCCGTAGGTGTCACTTGGAAACTTGGGCACCGAGGCTTCTAGCTTAAGAAATCTGATAACTTGTCTTGCATTTAGCCTTTTCTTGGGATCAGGATGCACGCACCACAATCCCAGCATCATCAAGCATTCCATTTCCTTCCTATCAAAACTTGAATTCAAAGTCTCGTCAGCTGCCTCAAGCATGTTTCCAGTTAGGTAAAGCTGCCAAACCCACTTGTATAGGGGAACGTGAAATTCTCCTTCCGGATAGGTCCTCCTACCGCATGCGATTTCTAGAGCGACAACCCCAAAGCTAAACATGTCGGATTCTTTAGTAAACTTACCTTCACTCAAATATTCTGGTGCCAGGTAACCATATGTCCCTACCACGTCCGTCATTTGTGTCCTGAACCGAGTGTCTACGAGCTTAGCCACTCCAAAGTCTCCAAGCTTAGTGTTGAAGTTCGTGTCGAGTAATATATTGGCGGCTTTTATATCTCTATGAAGAACACACTGTTCTAGGTCTTCATGAAGATAGTTGAGGGCTAACGCCAGCCCTGAAGCTATCTTGTACCTCACTTCCCACGGTAGACTTTTTCGAGTTTCGAAGAGATGATTATCAAGGCTACCATTAGGCATATATTCATAAACAAGCAAAAACTCACCTTCCTCTTGGCACCATCCAATGAATTGCACCAGATTTCGGTGTATCATGCGGCTTATTATCTTCACTTCGTTGGTGAAGACCTTCTCTGAGTGTTTGGATTCTGCAAAGATTCTTTTGACGGCAACTTGGCGATCTAAACGGTTCAAAAATCCTTCGTAAACTTGGCTGGACCCTCCTCGGCCTAGTCTTCGATCATTTGCAAAGCCATTTGTAGCAACAAGCAACTCTTGATAAGAGAATTGCAGAGGCAATGTTAATATCTCTTCGTGAGTTTGAGGCAGAGCCTCAAACTCACTTTTTTTCCTCATCTTGATCATAAATAAGCAAGAACATGCTGAAATAACCAGCAAGAGACATGCTACGGGAGCAGTGACAAATGTTATAATCCTATACATCTTACAGTTTAAGCCCTTTTTTGACACATCCTCCGATGGGGGCCGCACAACGTTCAAGCTTGAATTAAATTCCCATGAATTGATGCTGTGTCTCTCAGGAGAGAGGCCAAAAGAAGCTGAGAATCCAATCGCTACAGATTCAGGAAGAACTTCAGTGAGATTAATTTGGCAAGAAAGCGAGGAACTTTTGGTATCCGGAGAAATGGGTTTGTCATCAAATGACCAGAATACACTAAGATTCTTGCTGGTAGAATTATAGGTCACCATAACATCAGTTGCACGGCCGCTGTGTGATCCAGCATTCCAACTGGTGTATTTAAGAGGAAAGAGTGAGTTTTTGTTGATTCCTATGTGCTGCATCGGAGGATCATATTCCGTGTTCACCCAAGTATCGAACTCGACCATGACGATTTGGTTCCGAGGATCATCATCAAACGTGCTTGCATTGAACAATCCTAAGAATCCACCAGCTGAGTTAGGGGGGACTGAGAATCCAACAGGAGCAAGAAAAAAGGCAATGCCATCACTATATTGATCGGCATTGTAAGTGTCGATGGTGAATGAGAAACGAGTAACGAAGTCGGCTTGTTTTCCTGTAGCAGAATCCCATATATCGATGGGTTTAGAATACTGAATGCGGCCTACTTGAAAGTAATAGGCTGGTGGGGTATTTTTATTGGTTAGATCAACAGATGTATACGCAATTTTTGCAACTCCTTCGTATATTATGTCGTTTGGATTTGTGTCAAAGCTACTTATACTGAAGTTAAGAGAAGTGACAAAGGGTATAGAAGGATGGCAGACGAGGGAGAAAAGAATTACGAGAGTGCACAAAGAAAGAGAACAAGACATGGTTGTCGGAGAACTGTATTCTACGACTGTTAAAGATGAGGTTTACAACATTAAACTGGTTTGAGATAGTGTGCTTTATAATGAACCGCACATTCCTAAATCCAATTTATGACCTGTTCACAACAGCTTATTCGCAGTTTCTGCTGAACGCCTTGGACAAGAGACATTCTCACTAAGAAAAATATCTACTCAATTGCTCGTTCTTTCTCGTAATTTAAATAACATCGCTCTCGAAAGTAATTGCTTTTGAAATGTTACTCCTTCGCATAGTCCCCGGTCTTCGGAGTCCGTGCCAGCAATAAATCACTCCATTTGTTGATCGACGGCGACCCACATTTCAGATTTTTCAGAATCCCCTTCCACGCACATGCTCTTTTCCATAAACACCCCTCACTTCGACCAAAATAAATAAATAAGCAACCCTCGCAACTTCTGTTCTTGCTCCTTGTTAAGTTCATCCATCCCAAATGCCGTTGCATTTAAGATAGTGCACATCAAATGCCGGTCGTGCCATGTAGGATGGATGGCGCTAATTGGACAGCTATGTCAGCGATTTCTGGCCTGAATTGGGTGGATGGATGACATTGGAAAATAGTCAAAAAGTTTAGGATTACATTGGCCAAATTAAAAAATTTAGGACTGAAACAAAATCCGTATAATAAGTTTATGACTTTTTGGGCAATTTTCCCGTATAAATGCAAAGGAGAAATCCCGTGAGGGCCTTTACAAAGGTGGGTTACCGCGCTTGTCTTCGAAGGTTCTTCATTATGAAGACGAAAATCTCTCCATTTGAATGACCAGTGAAATAGCACAGTCATGTGAAGGAAAATCTTTGCAAAATTAAAACGTCTTAGGAAATTGATTCAAATGGTTATAGCATCATGTGACAATTTGACAAATTTAAGTTATGGTTTTGTTCATTATTCTTCTTGTAAAAGTTGTTTTGGATGCCAAACATGAATGATTTTATTGTTCTCGAATGTATCCTAATTTTTTGGCCAAATTACGTTGGAAGAACCTGGTAGATCTTTCGTGTACTGGATCTCATTGTGCCTTTTGGACTAGATTTCTAATCTCATATCTACATTCAGTTTTCCGCAATTAAATAGCAATGAGAGGCAGTTTTACATTGGTAAGTGTTAAAAAATTATTGATGAAAAAAAACGATCGGTGACTTTATTTTATTGGTATTTATTAAAAAATTCTTTGAATTACCAATTCTTTTACAATTTGCAAATTATCGGATTTTGAAGTGACTTACCAACATTTATATGCATAACTTAATAAAAGTTTCGAATTTATTAACTCTTACATGAAACTTTTAACCCAAATTAAAGTAATTTACCAACTTCTCTCAAATTGTATTAACAACTTGTTTGGAGTGACCAACTTTCATTTGAGATCATGCTTGAACTTAGAGCTTCCCTCTCCGTATCAGTACAGCTTACATTGGTCGAAGCTTTGGAATGACCGAATTCGATTACTCGAATGACAAAGATTGCCCATAAGAGGGTAGACACAAAACCACCATAAGATGCCATAGGTTCTTTAGGACCTGAGAACAAGTATTGCTTCAATCACGTGTACACTGGTCTTGATTCAGCAAGAAAAGAGTCGCTATAGAACATTCTTCGGGTCATTTTCTGATCACCGTCCGCCATGACTTCCTGAAAGATGATTCCAACTTTTGAAGTCATATGGCTTCCAAGACCCGCCAAACGGTCATCAACCCATCAAATCAACCCCAAAATACAAGTCAATCTCTATTCTGCAATAACGATTGAAGGAGGACGACAAACCAAAAAACAAGAAAAGAGAGGATGCTTATAGCTCTGCGTACGTCTAAGACCGGCAATTGTCAGGGTATGTTACCATAAAATTTGTCATTTTCAGACCGGCAATTGTCAGGGTTGTAAAGGTTCTCTCTACCGAAGTACTTTTTAATTTGGAGACGGGATGTTATTTCTGTCCAACAGTCGGTCAAATTATATGGCATGCTCTTTATATGATGAAAGTGTGATTACCTTTTCATCTTTGCGGAGTTGAATAGCACAGCAGTTACGTTTTGGTCGTCTTCATCTTTGGTCAAAATAATTCTTATGTTTGATGAAATAGGTAGAAGGCATATGTTTTTTATGTTCTAGTTTATGTGATTCGTTTTTAATCTTTATGGAGATGGTAGTACATTATGTTGAATGTTTTAGTTCATTGAGGGAAGCTTTTTTCTTCAAGTGAATATTGAGTGAAGCTTTGTTATTACGTAGAGAATGAGCTTTGTCATTCCAAACAAAAGAGCACGCTTCAGAACTAGGAAGACGTTATTGAGATAAGGGAAAATACTACAAAAACCCTAAATTATGCCCATTGTAACATCAATACTTCAAACTCCTTTTTGTGTCATCAAAACCTACAAACATGTACCAGTGTGATAAAAATACCCACCGTCAAACATTAAGGACATCAATACTCCAATTTACGACCCGTTCGCAATAGCTTAATCGCAGTTTCTGCTGAACTCCTTGGACAAGGGACATTCTCACTAAGAAAAATATCTACTTGATCGCTCGTTCGTTCTTGTATCTTAAATAACATCGCTCTCGAAAGTAATTGCTTTTGAAATGTCACTCCTTCGCGAAGTCCCTGATCTTCGGAGTCCATGCCAGCAATAAATCACTCCATTTGTTAATCGACGGTAGCTCACACTTCAGATTTTCAGAATCCCTTTTCCACTCACATGCGCTTTTCCATAAACACCCCTCACTTCGACCAAAATAAATAAATAAGCAACCCTCGCAACTTCTGTTCTTGCTCCTTGTTAAGTTCATCCATCCCGAATGCCGTTGCATTTAAGATAGTGCACATCAAATGCCGGTCGTGCCATGTAGGATGGACGATGCTGATTGGACAGCTACGTCAGCGATTTTGGCCTGAATTGGGTGGATGGATGACATTGGAAAATCGTCAAAAAGTTTTGGATTACATTGGCCAAATTAAAAAATTTAGGACCGAAACAAAATCCGTATAATAAGTTTATGACTTTTTGGGCAATTTTCCCGTATAAATGCAAAGGAGAAATCCCGTGAGGGCCTTTACATAGGTGGGTCACTGCGCTTGTCTTCGAAGGTACTTCATTATGAAGAAGAAAATCTCTCCATTTGAATGACCAGTGAAATAATAGCACAGTCATGTGAAGGAAAATCTTTGCAAAATTAAAACGTCTTAGGAAATTGATTCAAATGGTTATATCATTATGTGACAATTTGACAAATTTAAGTTATGGTTTTGTTCATTATTCTTCTTGTAAAAGTTGTTTTGGATGCCAAACATGAATGATTTTATTGTTCTCGAATGTATCCTAATTTTTTGGCCAAATTACGTTGGAAGAACCTCGTAGATCTTTCGTGTACTGGATCTCATTATGCCTTTTGGACTAGATTTCTAATCTCATATCTACATTCAGTTTTCCGCAATTAAATAGCAATGAGAGGCAATTTTACATTGGTAAGTGTTAAAAAATTATTGATGAAAACAAACGATCGGTGACTTTATTTTATTGGTATTTATTAAAAAATTCTTTGAATTACCAATTCTTTTACAATTTGCAAATTATCGGATTTTGAAGTGACTTACCGACATTTATATGCATAACTTAATAAAAGGTTCGAATTTATTAACTCTTACATGAAACTTTTAACCCAAATGAACGTAATTTACCAACTTCTCTCAAATTGTATTAACGACTTGTTTTTTTTGGGTAAGGTGTATTAACAACTTGTTTGGAGTTACCAACTTTCATTTGGGACCATGCTTGAACTTAGAGCTTCCCTCTCCGTATCATTACAGCTTACATTGGTCGAAGCTTTGGAATGACCGAATTCGATCACTCGAATGACAAAGATTGCCCATAAGAGGGTAGACACAAAACCACCATAAGATGCCATAGGTTCTTTAGGACCTGAGAACTAGTATTGCTTCAATCACGTGTACAATGGTCTTGATTCAGCAAGAAAAGAGTCGCAATAGAACATTCTTCGGGTCATTTTCTGATCACCGTCCGCCATGACTTCTTGAAAGATGATTCCAACTTTTGAAGTCATATGGCTTCCAAGACCCGCCAAACGGTCATCAACCCATCAAATCAACCCCAAAATACAAGTCAATCTCTATTCTGCAATAACGATTGAAGGAGGACGACAAACCAAAAAACAAGAAAAGAGAGGATGCTTATAGCTCTGCGTACGTCTAAGACCGGCAATTGTCAGGGTATGTTACCATAAAATTTGTCATTTTCAGACCGGCAATTGTCAGGGTTGTAAAGGTTCTCTCTACCGAAGTACTTTTTAATTTGGAGACGGGATGTTATTTCTGTCCAACAGTCGGTCAAATTATATGGCATGCTCTTTATATGATGAAAGTGTGATTACCTTTTCATCTTTGCGGAGTTGAATAGCACAGCAGTTACGTTTTGGTCGTCTTCATCTTTGGTCAAAATAATTCTTATGTTTGATGAAATAGGTAGAAGGCATATGTTTTTTATGTTCTAGTTTATGTGATTCGTTTTTAATCTTTATGGAGATGGTAGTACATTATGTTGAATGTTTTAGTTCATTGAGGGAAGCTTTTTTCTTCAAGTGAATATTGAGTGAAGCTTTGTTATTACGTAGAGAATGAGCTTTGTCATTCCAAACAAAAGAGCACGCCGTAACTAGGAAGACGTTATTGAGATAAGGGAAAATACTACAAAAACCCTAAATTATGCCCATTGTAACATCAATACTTCAAACTCCTTTTTGTGTCATCAAAACCTACAAACATGTACCAGTGTGATAAAAATACCCACCGTCAAACATTAAGGACATCAATACTCCAATTTACGACCCGTTCGCAATAGCTTAATCGCAGTTTCTGCTGAACTCCTTGGACAAGGGACATTCTCACTAAGAAAAATATCTACTTGATCGCTCGTTCGTTCTTGTATCTTAAATAACATCGCTCTCGAA